ATTCTATACACATCTTTTTAATTTTAATTCTAGAATCAATAAAAATGAGGGGAGTTTTACCTGTTGCACAAATCCCAGCACAAACCATAACAATTTGGGATTTTGGCTGTGTTGAATAATGAAGGAGATGCCTGGAGATGCTTTTTTACAAAGCTAATTGTTTTGGCAGTTGTAGCATTGCTCAACAGAAAATAGCTTCTGATTAGAGAACAAGATAAACTTTCATTGTAAAGTTGCTGCTCGCTTAAGCAATTAGCGACATTTTTCTAGTAGAACTCGTTTGTTGTCATCGTTAAGAAGTTGTCCTTACTTGGGGTGGTAGGGGTGAAAATGGAGCTCCTTTTTGTCCATAAGTCAAACTGATTTGAGATTGATTACTGTTTGGCAAGCAATATTTTCCATCAAAACCTTTGAACTCCTGGTCACTCGCTTCTTGATCAATTTTCGGTACCGCGTTTTATTCACTGTTTGTTTTCGGCCTCTTCCAAGACAATCCTCATCATGGCTAAGCTCCTTAAATCGTTTAAGTGCTTTGGATATGGTTTGCTGAGATACACAAAGCGAACGAACAATTTCGCACACTCGTTTTCCTGCACGATGAAGATCCAAAATTGAGCTTCGCCTCTTTTTCATTCTAAAATATAATAAAATTATATTAATAAAATAAAAAAAACAATAAAACATCTAGAACAAATCGCGAAGGATTTAAATAAGACAATATCGAAGCGCAAAGGATAAGAATTTTCCAGATATTCCAAAGGCTTCAAGTTTTTGCTGCATATGTAATACTTTATCAAACGCCTTAGCCACGTTTAAAAATATAATATCCACAGTTTTATATTTACTAATTCTGTTTGTTATATGATCTAAAGCTTCTAATAGATTAGTTGTGCAAGGTTTTCTTTTGATAAAACAATGTTGATTTATTGAGATCAAATGGTTGTGTTCTAAATGCTCTATAATTTTTTTATACTTCTATCAAGAATTCTACATAACATCAATGTTAATTAAAGAGGTCGGTAGTTTGATAAATCAAGTTTAGATCCCTGTATGTATAAAGGTGATATTATAACTCTTTCTCAATCATTTGATTCTTTGTTAAGTTTATTATTATTATTATTTTTTTATTGTTGATGAAGGGAAGCACATCAGGCTTTCCTATGCTGATATATATATATTATTATTATATATATATATGGACATTGCTGCAACAGAAATAGCATTTTAAACGTGTTTTTTAAAAAAAGTGCACAGTGGGTGCATCAACTACATTCTGAGCTAATTTGTTCCATCGGTTAGTAACTCGGTTTATAAAGAAGTGCTGATGTTCTGAATTTCTTTTGATCAGTTGTGGTATTAAACATCGGTTGTTTCTTCTCAGATTATATTGTGAGTTTAACAAAAAAGGCTGGGCTTGTGGTATGTAAAATTTAACTTCTTGTAACTGATGAGCAATTTTGTATTGCAGTATAAGGTCACTGCGAATTCTGCGTTCTTCCAGCGTGGTTAGATCTAGTAGTTGTAGTCTTTTTTCGTAATTAAAATGTTTAATTGACGATATAATTTTTGTTGCACGTTTTTGCACACGTTCGAGAAAGACAATTTTCGATTTAAAATGTGAAGACGAGGTTTGTACACAAAACTCTAGATGCGGTCGAACGTATAGCTGGTACAATTTTTTCCAAAGCTGGTGGCTACAGCATCGAAATGTCTTTTTGAGGTGACCATGCATTCGATTTCCCGCCGAAGCTACTGCTTCTACTTGTGCTTTCACTTTGAGGTTGTCAGATATTAATACCCCAAGGTTGCCCTCAATGCATGTTGGAGGTTATGTTGGTTACCGTTGATGTCAGCCATGGTATAGGTATGTGTTGATTTATTTTTGCGGCAACCAAAGGGCATTACTTTGCACTTCTCGATGTTGAAGTGCATAAGCCAGTTATGTGACCAACTTTCAGCGTTGTCAATGTTTGTTTGCAGTGATTCATAATCAGAGGATGATTGATTATTATTTATAATTCCTATGATCTTGCTATCATCGGCGTATAACTTGGTATAATTGATAATGCCATCTGGATAGTCATTGACAAAAAGCACAAATAGCAGTGGTCCAAATACTGATCCTTGAGGGACTCCACTTGTAACTCTTTTCCACTCGGAATTTGTTGCCCAATAACTACACGTTGTTTTCTTTCACTTAGCCAAGCAGAGACTGTACGCCTGAATCTTGAGAAGGAGTCTGGTACTGTATCAAAAGCTTTGGCAAAGTCTGTATATATTATGTCAACAATGTGTCCACGGTAAGCTGCCTCCGTGAAAATGTCATGGTCAACTCTGTTAAATATCAAAATAAGAGCCAATTAACAAGTAAAAAAACTAAGAATAATGGAACTCGATTTTCATTTTGAAAAATCGAAATGTCGAGTTCCATTATATATGAAAAAGTGTTCCATAGTTTTGGTCCGCTGTATGATATTCTATATTCAGAATACTTACTATTAATTCTTGGTAATTTATAAGTATTACATTGGTTTATTCTGAGAGAATATTTTTGTTTACATTTTTTGTAAATTTATCATTAAAGTTTTTTGGAATCAAGCTGTTGTTACATTTATACATAAAAATTAGGTGTTGTTACTAATTTCAGACTTTCTGATGTTATATATAGACAAATACGGTATATCAGACCAATTGTTTTACTAATTTTTGATTGAATATAATTAATATGGAGAAGCCATGATAAATTTTCATCAATAAGAATTCCCAAGAATTTTATTGAATCATTTTTACTAACTAGTGCATCATTTAAAATCAAATCAGGTAATTTTAAAGGAAGTTTTTAATCTTTTGATTTTTTATGAAATAAAGTATATTTTGTTTTATCTACATTGAGTGAAAGTTTATTTGCCTTAAACCATTTATCTACATTCATTAGTTCAGAGTTCATGTCAGAATACAATTGATTAATGTCACAGTCTGAAAGGAAGAGATTTGTGTCGTCAGCAAACATTATTGAGTTAAGCTTAGCTGATGCATTATTAAAATCATTTACATAAATCAAGAAAAGCAATGGACCTAGAATTGATCCTTGTGGAACTTTGCTTAAAACATTATCTTTCTCGTGATTTATTGAAAGCAATGGTTAGTGGAATTGATAACGATAATTGATTTATTGAAAACAATGGTTAGTGGAATTGATAACGATCGAGAGCACCATTATAATTTTTCTATTCTTTTCATTATGATTGTTTTAATACCATCGTCACCTCCAGCTTTATTCTCATCAAGATCATTAAGAAAATATTTCACCAAATTTTTAATTATAATAATATCATTACAATCTTAATGATATTATTATTGGTAATTGTCGTTTGATTAATTGGCAGTTTCATTCGGTTCAGCTATTAATTGCTTTCATCACTTGGTATTCTTAGAACTTTAATAATTTATTTTTATTTACGGTCTTATCACAGAGCACTGCGGATGAGTATTTAATTGGAAAATCACGTCTTCTTCCCAACCGATGTCGCAAAACTTGCCTTGAGGTAGGGATTGAATCTTGGATCCTTAGTTTCTGAGGAAAGTACGCTACTACTGCGCTACGGCTGCTATTTAAAAATCAATAACAAAATTGATCTATAAACTGACACAACTATTTACTACATTAGTATTTTGCTTTCCTAACTTTTTTCAATAAACATTTTATTACTCGTAGAACACTAACTTTTGGAAGATATAAATACATTTTATGTAATTAAGCATATCTCACGAATATTTTAATTGATATGTAGGCTTTGTTTAAAAAAAAACGTCAAAAATCGTTTTTGTCAAAAGACTTGCTACCATATAAAATTACGAAAGCTTTTGATTATTCGGTCCCCCAAATGAAAAAACCACTTTTTTTAAGTGATTAAATTTATTTTGAAAAATAACATTGTTGTTGTCAACTTTTATTGACCTAACCGCGACCCCCACCCCCTTCTCTTTTGTTGACAATTAATGTACAGCCTTTATAGATCGAACTAGAGACTGTTTTCAATCTCCCTACAAATAGATTTTACTAATTTCTTACAGATTTTAATTTGAAGATATTTTTCATTTTTGACGGAAATCAATTACTTTTTTGTCTTAAACATTTTTCTACTTTAAGAGTAGATTTCTTGATTGATTATATAATTTAAAAACGTTTTGTTATATAGTTATACAGGAGTTAAACAATACTTTTAATCAAAATAGTAAAACACATTATTTACAAAACTTTACTAATTAAGGTTAATTTTTAATTATAACAGTCGTCATTTTGATGTATAAAAGTTATCCCACGTCACGCAGCAGTTACCTATTGTTTTGCTTTGTTATTTGGATAACTTCGCTTTTAAACAATGCGCTAAACGTCAATTTATTATTAATACGTCCTTGATTAAACTAAATGACTATATTTTTGGTTTTCGTGGACCAATCATTTTTTAATCAGTAAGTTTTTCAACTACACCTTTTGCGTTTAAACTGGCCATTAGGCACTTTAATTTGGCAATTTTTAATTTACAAATTAAAGTGAAAATTGCTAAATTAAAGTGAAAGTAGTAGTACTAGGTTAAATTGGCCAATTTTCACTTTAATTTGGCATTTTTTCATTTTTAATTGGCAATTTTAACTATAATTTGTAAAGTGAAAATTGCCAAATTAAAATGAAATAATGCCAAATTAAAGTAAAAATCGGCCAACTTAAACGCAAAAAGATGTGAAAATAATTTCTAAAACACGAATTTTGAAGGGCCCGAGGTTAATAACGATCTGTCACCTTCAGGGAATTTATAGCAAAAATGTAACAAATACACCCCTGAGCTAAGATTTTTATTTTACACATTAACCAAAGCGCACTTATTTATTCCGCTCACCCTTAAGACATACTTTTTGACACTAAAATAACAACAATAAACTTGAAAAATTCGTTGATACAATTATTAATAATTCTAAAAATATTTATGAAATACTCTTTATCAAATGCAATTTTTTTATTCAACCAAATTTGCAATTAGTTTATATTCAACCACTTCAATGGAATCATTTACAAGTAATCTGAACTCGACATCAGCCTGCGTCGTACACAACTTTCAAACTCAACTAAAAGCTTCTTAGTAAAAAGGAGTTCTTAGTAGATGCGCTAAATTTGTTGCTTGTTTTAAATTTATGCTTAGTTTTGCTTTTTACATTAAAAACACATACAACAGATGAAAGCTCAGTTGTTATTATTGTCCAAAAAATATAATAAAAAAAGTTCAAAGAGACAAAACACAACGGGAAACACATTTCTTAAAAAAAGTTTAAAAAGCATGCCCTTATAAGCCTTTTTTTGCTTAAATGTAGCAACACTATTGCAACACTTATTGCGACACTATTGCGCGTATATAGTAAATTTCATTTATTAAAATAGCCGTTTGATCCATGAACTAATTTTTTTTATAAAAAATGCTAACGTGTGATACGGTGTATCATATAAACTGTAGCAATGATAGATCCTAGAATCACGATTCTTTTAAACCATACATCAGAACTGTCATCTACTTTCTTTAAACCAACAAGAGCAGCCAGCTAATGTGATAAAAAAAGGATAACATAATAAAAAATAACAATATAATATAATAATAATATATTAAAAAAAAGGTCATAATTTAATAAAACAAAACATAATAATAGAAAAAAAAAAAAAAATTTTTAAATAAAAATTCTACAACTAAAAAAACATTAAAAATGAAAATTATAAAAATATGAGAAAACCAATAAAATAAAAATATGAGAAAAAACAAATATAGCGCAAACAAAAATTATTAAGTTTAAAAATCATTATTTTAAATATTTACGTTTTTTTATGAATTTAAATTTAAAATATCTAAAATGTTTCTAAACACTCAGAGCTTACTACTTACCCAACCTCCGTTTTTGGCAATCCACTTTGCTATCTTTTCATTCACAATAAAATCAACCACAAAACGAATCAATTTGCGCAAAAATTTTCCAAACCCACGCGCATTTCGCTTAATAATTGCAAATGCAACTTCATAGCCAAAACACAAAAGAGCTACAATACGCCCCCAATTAATACCATTTTCAAAAAGACGTCTTGCAATGTTAGCAAAAGTCTCATAAGCAACATCTTCTGTTTCAATGTTCAAGCGACATAACATATCTGAAAACACTTGTCTGTATTTATCATTTATTTCATCACCAAATGAAGCTAAGACTCTACCAAGATTTTCTGTTTCTCCATTACTCTCATCAACATTTCTAAATTCTGTTACTTCACTACGTAGGTTAGTAATGACATTGCCAACTTCAAGACTGCCGTCTGAGGACTCTTTGTCGATTTCACTAGTTAAACGTTTGTAGACAAAGCTGCAAAAAACTTTTTCTGTATCATTAGCTACTTGTTGTTCTTCTTGCTTATGAAGATCATCAGCTGCTTCTGCCATTTTTTACCCATAAGCATTCACTCAGCCATTTTTACTAATGCTAAAATCAAGAAATAAAGTATAAAAATGTTTCTCTTGATCACTAGACCTTTGAATTACTTTTTATATTTTTATTTTAAAAAAACCTAACATTTAAACACAAAAGCTGTTTAACAGTAATAGTATAGTTAATATAACTAATAATTTGAATACATTTTCGTTTTAAAATGCTAATCAAAATTTTAATAAAAAATTAATTTTTCAAAATTAAAAAACATAAAAAACAAAAGAAATAAAAACAAGAACCAAAAAAAGTTTATAAATAAAAAGATTTAAATTGAAATGTCTACAGCAAAAAAAGAATAAATACTTTTTTTATATATATAAAATAATGATAAAAAGATAAGTTAGACTTCAAATCAACAGTTCAAAAAATGATGAGTCTAAAATGAATATTTTACAAACAACCAAGCTAAGTTAAAACATCAAATGATTTCTAAGTGAATTAACTGTTAGGGTTGATGCCATTTTCTCCAAGCAATAACAATTATTCCTGAAACCAGTGAAGCCACAAAAAAACGTTGAAGCCATACTTCAATTTTAGTTAGTTCAGATATTGCCATAGCGGCCAAGATATGATTAGTACGAAACTGACAGTTTGGATCATCAAAAAAATCAATCATTTTAATCTGGAAAAAGAAAAAAAATTAAGTAACTTATTAAAATATTTAAAAATAACTTTTACTTAGTAAAAAGTTTTATAATTATTTTCAAATTTTTGTAATTAATAAAAAAAAATAACCTCAAATAGAAACAGAATGAAAATAAAAGGTGTTTTGTGTTTTCATTTTCATATCATTTTTTAGACTTAAACAAATTTAAAGCTTGATGTTATTTGGCTGTATCAAAAATGCCATTAATGAAATAAATTGCGAAAAATACTTTTTATATGTAATTCATTACAAGGGTGTACCCTCATGATTGTCCAGTGGCAGGAAACTACTCGGTTTCTCCAAGGGCAATTTAAATATTTAAAAAAATGCCTGTCAGTATCCCGGCAGGATGACCAGTCTGTTTGTTACTTACAAAAGTGTGTTTATTAATAAAACCATATTTTGATATATGAAGATTTTATTCTTTGCGATTATTTAAAAGGAAACTTTAAAAAGCATTTAAAGTAGTATACACTTTGTTTAATAACGAGTACACTACAGTGTGTTATAATTTAACCTAATAACGAGTACACTACAGTGTGTTATAATTTAACCTAATAACGAGTACACTACAGTGTGTTATAATTTAACCTAACTTTATAAAAAGAAGATGACATGCAATTTAATATTTCGAAGTGCAACTGTTCTGTTTTTTTAAATTTTATTGTTGCATTTTGAAGCATTTTTCTTCTTAGAAAGTCTTAGTATAATAAAAATGTTTAAAATATTAAAAATATGTTTTAAACATTCAACTAAATTAAATTTGATTGAAAATGAAGAGAGAATAGTAAAACATTTTTCTATTTATAAAACATTTCTTTGCAGTTTTAGCTTATAACTTTTTTGCTTCACGTAATGAACATTTGATAAGCTTGGCAAAAAGAAACGATACGAAAATGATCAAGACAAAAATGAAGATCTTTAATTAACTGAATTAATAATTTAATTAATTTACTTTTAATTAAACCATTCCCTATTGGTTGTATTTTAGTAGAATGACGTTTAAATTTTTTTTTTCTTCAGTATATTCACCTGAGAAAAGAATACCAAAAAAAACCTATTATTCAGTAGTCCTTTTTTGCTTCACGTAATGAACATTTGATAAGCTTGGCAAAAAGAAACGATACGAAAATGATCAAGACAAAAATGAAGATCTTTAATTAACTGAATTAATAATTTAATTAATTTACTTTTAATTAAACCATTCCCTATTGGTTGTATTTTAGTAGAATGACGTTTAAATTTTTTTTTTCTTCAGTATATTCACCTGAGAAAAGAATACCAAAAAAAACCTATTATTCAGTAGTCCGGACTGATTATCATAGTGGACGACTCAAATGAGAACTCAAAATGGGAAAAAAAAAGAGGCTACATCCCTGCATTACATCATATTTGGAATGAAACTATTTTATAAGGGTGAATGGAACTGACAGACAAAGCAGAATTGACAGACAAAACCTAATACAGATTTCATTGGTGCTAAGAACCACAATTAGCTAATATTCAAAAGCACCGTGTTACATACAGCGTGGCCACACTTTTTTTTGAGTTGAAAAATTAGAAAAATTTAGGAGAACTTTAATAAAAAATTTGAAAGTATAATTTGAATGTTCAAAAGAAATCTTCAAGTTCAAAAAACAAGTTTAAATTAGGAGATTTTAGGAGTATTTTTGAAATTGAAGTATATTTTAGGAAAATTTCTTTTTAGGAGGTTTTTTAATTATCAGGATATTTTAGGATTTATTAGGAGGTGGCCACCCTGCACATAGCACACACATGATGTATTCATAGTCATGTCAAAAGCAGTCAACCATATTTCTCTTTATTAATTAATTTTTTTTCAAATTATTTTAAAAGATTCAACAGAAACTGAAATATTGAAAATAACAAGAAATAAAAGCTGAAAAAAAAAACTGATTTAAACAACCATCCAAAATTGTCAGTTGTTACTAATGTAGATGAAACTTTAAAATTAGTTTCAGACGATTTTAAAAAGAGATAAATTTACAGCAATAAAAAAAGCATTGCAATTAAAAAAATAAGCAAATTAAAAGTCACTAGAGGTAAGAAAAAACAAAAAGTAAAAATTTGCTTTAATTTGATTTGATAAATGTAAGGATAGCTGTAAATGAGAAATGTTGAAAGCAGAAATATATTTAAAAAAATAATAAAGAATAAAATATAAGTTTATAAAAACAAATAACAAAAAAATCAGATGTTGCAATGTACACACAAAGATAAAACAAGAAATGATGTAAAAGATAATTAACTTAAAAAAAATAAAAAAATATTTAACATAATTGTACAACAACTGTGTTTTGTTTACACAAAATAAATTGATGCCAAACTTTCTCCTTTTTACACAAAATAAATTAATGCCAAACTTTCATTTTTTTACAGATGTCATGACTGGTTTCCTAATATTATAAAAAGTTTATGAAAACAATAGTCATTAAACAATAAAGCAATATTTAATTTTCAACCAAAGACGAATATATGTATATTATATTATACTTTATTTTTATTTCAAATTTTGAAAATTGCATTGAATGATTCAAATAATGATATAATTAATGATTTAAATATAACTAAAATTAAGCTTAAAGCAATTAAAAATAAAAGCACATAAAATCCATCCAAAAGTTAAAAGATGTTGATGATCTAATTATAAAATTGAATCCGTTCAAAAATGACAGAACAAGTTGATACAAGGTAGATTTAATATTTTTTTAAACACTTTATTTTTTTAAGCATTTAGAATTTTTTTATAAATTTTTAGAAAATTAAAAAAAAAGTGTGGTTAATTCCACACATTGATATATTTTATAACTCTTTTTTTTTGTTCCTCCTTCTGACATCTTAACTATAACTTGAACTAACAACTTTACTAAAAAAATATGTAAATTTTATGATGACAAAATATATAATAAGAAACTTTATCATGCCTTTATATATAATTAAAAAAAAAAGTTAAATGGAATGCTTTGAATCAAGTTAGCAAAAATCTTGTATACTAAATGTTTACAATCTCAAAGGTAAAAAATAAATATATCAGAGTATTAAACATCTTGTAGTTAAAACGCCTTTGAGCTTAACTCAAGTTAAATGTTAGCTTTAATGTCTGCGACTTTAATTAGCCTCAAAACCTTGTTGTGAAAAGTCCAATTCTTGACATTAGAAAAACTTTCATCTTGACATTTTTTTTTTTGATTACTTTGTTTGGTTTGATTTCTTTATATTTTGGTCATCTATGTTTTTGTAACTTTACATTTTAGTTTATGCAGTATAATAAATCTGATTATTTCAGTTTAATAATAGATAGTGTATATATTCAATATATAGTATGCAAATAATAAATATAATAAACAAATAATATACAAATAATTAACAATATGTAAAGCTAAAAGTAATTTATAGTAATGTAAAAAAAAATTAACTTACCCATCCACCATGTTGTGCAATCCACTGCAAAATTTCTTCTTTTACAATAAAGTCCACAATAAAACTGCATATCTTTTTTAAAAATGATGCAAGCCCTACTTTGCCATGCTCGACTATGTAAACAGAAATTTCTACACCAAAACATATCAAGGAAACAATATGACTCCATGCAATGTTGTCATTCTCAAAAAGTTTTTTAGCAACTTCAACAAACTGAGTATAAGCAAAATTATATTCATCTGTTATTTGTAACTGATTAATTAAACTAAGAAACGCATGATGATATTTTTGAATTGCTATGCCACCTTGCTCCTCAAGAATTTGAACTGCCTTGTGTATAAACCAGGAATCTTTTTCAGTTGAGTAAGAACTTTCACATTTACACAGATATTCTTTAACAGCTCTTATCTCACAAAGAACAGGTTCAGGAAGTAAAGAAAAATGCAATCGAAAGTTTTCTTCACAAGAGGATTTATTTATAACTTTTTCTAGCATTCGATATATAAAACACCGTACTATGTTTTCAGCTGTTTTAGTTAACTGAACTAAGTCATCAGAGCTACCATTGCATTCATGTTCAGCCATATTTCTATCAATTATATTTTCAGCTGTATTTGAACTATATAAAATAATTATTTTTTCTACTTTATATATACAATAATACCTAAAACACGTTTTTAAGTATTTTTTAAAACTTGTGGTTTTTAAAACTTTTGACAAAAGTTCATTTTAAAATCTCATAAGAACTTACATAATATTTTACAGTTCACTAAAAGTTATACTTAAAATAAAAAAAACTAATGTACTTTTTAATCACCAGAAAAAAAATACAAAATGTTTTTAAACTGTAAATATATATTATAAAATAATTAAAATTAACATCATCATCATATATACACTTTTACACAAAAATAACTTAAAGTTGTACATATTGTAAAGGTGTTGTTCATATTAAGGAGAACAAAACTTGACGATTTAACAAGTTTAAATAATCATGTTCCTAATCTTCTAATTTATATAAAAGTTTCTTTAATGTATATAATAATATTCAATGGTTCTTCAATGTATATAATAATATTCAATGTTTCTTCAGTTCTTTAAAAGCACTTTTTATCTTGAAGTAGATTAGAAATAAAAGGAGCTTGTAAATATAAAAATACAACGCTTTCGAAAACAAAACAATATTTTAAGTAAGCCAAATTTAAGTTTTATACAAATAAAAAGTGAAATGCACAAAACCTCAAAAAATTTAAATAATAAATCTTGTAAACATAAAATTCAGTATAATAATTACAGTAGTCAGTACATTACCCAGTACATTACTTAATAACTACAATAATCTTAAATAATTTTTTGTATTTATCTTACTCCCTCTCCACCACAGTGGTCTTACCCCTTCCCCATATAAGTTACATATGCTTGGTGGTCTAACCCCCTCCCCCAACTTCATTCACTTTTTTTTGTGTGCTGTCCAACCTTTATAACCTTAATAGACCATTAATGTGAGCAGCGTTCATCTTTATTAAAGTGATCGTGAACTGCCATCTCAATTATTAGCATTTGCGTAAATACATTTGTTGGACCCCCCCCCTATACACAAATTACTTAATTTGGGACACCCCCTCCACCCTTGGTGCATACATAATATATGGATGGTTCCTAATAGTAAAAGGTACTATTAATTATAAAAGTTAACTTTCATACTGTTGGAAAAACTATTTTTTTTTTAGAGTTTTAATTAAATTGCCTTCCTAGATTTTTATCTGATGTTTTTGAATGACAACTTTTTGTTAACTGACTTTCACAATGTTTGGATGGTAAAAAAGTCTCTAGATAATTTACTCATTGATTTTCATAGACCACTAATTGGGTTTAAGTAAATTTCATTTTTCTGTATGCATATCTTTAACAAGAGTGCTCAATGAACAATATCAAACCTGTGCATGTTTGGACTCTTTTACAAATAAAAAAAACTGCAAAATTCGCTGTTGCATTGCTGTGTTATTATATTTAAAACAACTATTATTTATATTTGAGAGCTCCTTTAATCCTAAATTTTCTTACAAAATCTTTTATATATGCACAAAGTTAAAACTTATGATATTACTTATAACTACAATACTCATTAGTCTAGAATACGGTGATAGAGGTGTGAGATATGATGTGGGTATACCAAATTTGCAATTTTGACATCAAAGGACAAGGCGTTGCTTGGACACTGCAACTTTGTTTTCAAAATAACCGGAATGCTTCACATAAGGAGGTTTCAGCAGCAATAGTAAATTGAAAACAGTGCAACTCTAATTATCCTCACTCTATAAAATTGAAGCATGGTCAACTAAACGTAGAGCAGAATTGGAATCGGGTTGCCATAAACATAATGCATGTACTTGTACTTACCATTGATTGACTGTGGTTCGTCATGGTATACTTTATAGCATAAACTGGTAACCAAAACAGCTGAAGTTGTCTGAAAGCTTGAAGAAATATTCTCTTTATTTGGACCGCCAGTTTATCTTCTAATGAACAACAAAATTAGGTCAAACACATTAACAAGTTTTGCTGAAGAATGTTATGTTAATTTGGAAAATCACGCAGCCCATCAGGCTTAAGATTAATTAAAAGAACAATCGCTTGCTCACATTATTCAATCGTTCTTGCAGTTATGCTATACAATGAGACTGTACGAGACAGTTATGCTATATCATCTGACTGTACTGAAAGCCCATCTCAACAATTCAAAAGAAAACTAAATTGTTTTATTCCAGGTGTCATTACACAGAGGAATATAGACAAAAATGACGTAAACAAGAAATTCAAGGAGGGTGACCATGTTTGGGTAAATCCAATTCAAGAAACAAATTGTGACCAGCTATGGCTACCAGGTGTAGTGTGAAGGCAAAATTCCTTTATTGTTTGACTTTGAAACTGCAAATTGGGTATACCAAATACATATGGTAAGTATAAAAAAACCTCAAACTGACATTAGGCCTTATTTTAAAGCCTAAAATGGCATGCCATTTACATACACGCTGAGTCATTTTTGTAAGCGGTAAGCCATTTTTAATATTTAAACAAGTTTAAAGATATTTTTTAAGCAGTAAGATAAAAAAGTAATTAACTTGATAAAAACGACTTGTGAAGTTTGAATGACAATTATGTAAAAAAGTCTTGATGAAAATTACATTTGATATTAGTGCTATACATTTGTAATAAGTTAAAAAAAAAAATTATTTTTATTAAACCAACTTTTGCATCAAAAATATTCAACCAAAAAAAAAAAAAAAAAGATGTTATCTGATGCGTAAAAAATATAAGAAATCATAAAAAAAATTTAATTTAAAAATTTTTTTTATAATCTTGCAAGCGCAAGAATTTTTATTTTAGCAATTTCTTATGACAAACAATAAAAAATAATTGCTGAATTTAAAAATAAATAAATAAAAAGAAATTAGCTCAGAAATAGTACACATCAAATTTTATTTTATATTATTAAAAATTTTATACTTTTGAATTTTAATTTTATTTTTATTTGTTTGTTTTGTTATAATGACTGATTTTATCAAAACAATAAAAAAATTATTACAAACTTTAAATGGCATCTTATAAAAAGTTTATTTTTTTATTAATAAATAAAAAAACTTCTTCTGATATAACTCTATTATTAATTTTTCAAAATAATATTTCAAGGGAGTTTAGATACTCTTGTTATCAAGAATAAATATACTTGACAACTTACTTGTTAAATAGAAATATACTTAGATACCCTTGTTATTAAATATAAAAGTATATCTAATAACAAAGGTATCTAAACCCCTTTGATATATCGTATTGAAAATTAATAACAAAATTATATATATAAAATTTTTTTATCATATTTTTATAAGGATTTACGCTTAAAGCAATATAACTCTTGCAATGTCTTCAATTATATTCATAAGAAAAATAATAGTTTAGAACTTTAAAATTTTATAATAGTTACATCAGCTTTATATAGCGAACAGATTGTGCAATACCAAAAAAGTAAAAACAGAAATTTCCTTTTAATTTAGAATATATTTTGATTAAAAAAGTTATTTAAATTCCTTGTAAACGTGTTAACACTGCATCTAAAAATGTATGTTTAACTTTCATATAAATGTCATAAGAAATGTAAAAGGGCAATAGTAAATATTTTTTAATAAATGATACTTGGAAACTTAAATCTTGTTTTGTTACAACGAAAAAACGCGCTGGTAAAGTAGTTAACTTAAATTTTATTTTTGGCAACAAGTAATATTTTTTATATTTGTTTATCTTTTTAAAAGTAAAAAATTATTATTTTTTGCAAAGCCATAATTTGGATAAATAATGGGAAAAAAAAATTGAATGTTTTAGTTCATTTATACAAATGTTGAGAAAAGAAAGTAATTTATGTTAAATGACAATAAAAAATGTAATATAAATTTATTTATTTAAAAAAAGTTAATAAATTTATTTATTTAAAAAAAGTTGGAATAAAATAGACATTTCTCAATATGTACATTTACAAATAAAAAAACACTTCTAATTTGTTTTTATTAATTAGTAAATTAAACTTTCCTTGCAGTAGTTTATTTTATTGTGGTAGTTTAAAAAGATTATGTCCATAAATAAAATAAAAAAATATAGTTTAATGGCATCAAAATCATGACGAGCCAATGTGCTACACCATTTTTATTTAAAACAAGGTCTAACACCCAACTTAACCTGGTCAATAAATTAAAAAGTCCCAGTGTAGAGTAACGCCACAAAAAAGTTTAATATAAAAGTTCCTAAGAATTGTTAACAAATTATTGCTGGGGGCTTTAGTACATACATCGACTGACAAATAGCCTGACTCGCAGTGGAGTGCTGCTACATTGACTGAGGGTTTGGGATGGGGAAGCAATCCTTTCATTCATCATTCTTCGTTTTTTCTCCTTCTTTTCCAAAAAAATGGTTTAGCTTAAGGTAAGCAGAAAAAGTGCTTTAGTAAGTGTATATACACTTACTAAAGCGTGTTTTGAAAAGCATTTACTCACTTTTTCTGCTTACCTTAAGCTATACCGTTTTTTTCAAAAAAGAAGAAGAAAAAACAAAGAATGATGAATATATATATATATATATATATATATATATATATATATATATATATATATATATATATATATATATATATATATATATATATATATATATATATATATATGATGAGTATTTGACTTTATGAAAATCTCGGAAAATTATTTTATTTAAAACTGACCATATTAACAGACAAAACTTTCGTAAAATTTTAAAACAGAATTTAGATTATTTAACTTTTTACAAAAAAGAATTTCTAATATTCGAAAAAGATAATTTGAATGAATTAAAAAGCAAAAAAAAAAAAAGAAAAAAATTGTTACAAAAATTTATCTCATGAAAATTTTAATGATAGAAAACTTATTTGTTTAAATGCAATAGTTGTTGTATTTAAAATTTTATGTAAAAATATATCTTTTTTTTTTCAAATTAATAACAAAAAACATCCGGAAATTTCTGGAAAATTAAAGGAGTTTTAAGTGAATTTCCGGAATTTTGGGAATTCCCAGAAAAAACTCATCTATGATATATATATATATATATATATATATATATATATATATATATATATATATATATATATATATATATATATATATATATATTCTATAAAAATGACTTTGTGTTTTTCATTTTAGTTACATCGATAATTACACTTTTGAGAGAAAAATTATACTTTTGTGAGAGCTGTGAATTGCTCCCGTAAACCTTTTTAGGGGAGTGTGAGCAAGAGTTAGTGCGAGAGCTAAATCTATCGCTTCCTGCAAAGACCTGCATATATATATATATATATATATATATATATATATATATATATATATATATATATATATATATATATATATATATATATTATATATATATATATATGCAGGTTTTTGCAGGAAGCGATAGATTTAGCTCTCGCTCTCACTTATGCCCACACTCCCCTAAAAAGGTTTACGGAAACAATTCACAGCTCTCACAAAAGTATAATTTTTCTCTAAAAAGTGTAATTATCGATGTAACTAAAATGAAAAACACAAAGTCATTTGTTATAGAATATATATATATATATATATATATATATATATATATATATATATATATATATATATATATATATATATATATATATATATATATAAATGCGCAATAAGCTGCACTGCTTTTTAAAACGCCCAGTTGTTACAAAAATTAAATTAAAAAAGAGTGCCGATTTAAATGCACATATTTTTGATTTAGATTGGACTATTTGATAAATATAAAATTTAAATTTGAAATAAATTTAAAAAATCTAAATTATATTGATTTTATATTTTTAATTATATAGATAAATTATTGCATAACAATTTTTATTATATCTATTGAGTTATATATTTTATATTTTAACTACTTAATATTTTATTCACTTTTATTTTGGAATTTTTAATTGTTGTAATAATTCATTAAAATGCTTGCATTCTATTACAATAAGAAAATATATAATATTTTTTAAAAGCAGTAAAAACTTTTTTAAGCGCTCGCTTTTAAAAAATGCTAATAAATCAGACATAAAGAGGATTTTTCTTTATAATGATAGATTGCTTGCCCAAACCAAAACCCTCAGTGAATGTATATACACTTATTGTATATTCTGACTAATTGTCAGTTGATGTATATACACTCCCTGTATGTTCTGCAATATACACTCCCTGTATGTTCTACCTGTTAACTCTTAGCACTTCAATACATACATAGATAGTCAGTCATATCTAGGTAAAACATGCAAAATACATACATTGACTGACTATCTAGGTAAAAAATAAGTGCTGTGGGAGTGCTGTTACATCACCTAAGCGTTTAGACTGGGGCAGTAATTATTTTTTTCATTATTCTTTGTTTTCTTCTATTTCTAAAAAAACTGTATGGATTTATGTCAGCAAAAAAGTCAGTTTAAAGCACAAACACATTTCAAATAAACATTATTTTGTATAATTTAACTAACAAATAAACCACAAAAAAATAAAGAAATCAGTAATTAATAATCTTTTATATGCAACTTTTTACCTTATTCATTATTAAAAATATGTTTTCATATATTTACTTACAGCATCATTATATAATGCACTTAATAATTAACTATAACAGTTGCATTGTATCATATTTTTGTAATTGTATGTAATATTAGTTGAAGTGAAGAACAATAATTTTAGAAAAATACCATGATATGGTTTTTCTTTAGGGTTACCCCATAACTATTAATGTAGCAGAGTGTGATATAAAGACAATAATTAAAGTGGATGAAAGCATTATGTCATGAAGAATTCAACTTTCCCCTTTTTTACACAAATAAAAAATATAATAATTGCTATTATATTTTTTATTTTATAGCACAAAAATGAACTAAAATTCGCACAGTGGATGAAAGAATAAACAATATAGTAAGTGTGGCGATTTATCAAATTATTTAAATACTTAATATTTAACAGAAGCTATTTTTATGAAAAAACTGTCAAACTTTTTTGATGGTAAAACAACTTTTGCTACTAAAAGCTCTTATCTGATAAGTACAACAACACCAAAATATTACCTGCACTCATTTTGACTAATCTCTTATGTAATATTTTAAATTCAGGCAAGCATAGAATTTACACTTGGTTTGAAAAAATTTTGGTTCAAAAAAACATACATACTACAAAACCAAATAAAAATTAGCAAAAAAAAAAAGTTTTTTTTAACAAGAAAAAGAAATCATAAATATTTATTTAAATAATAATTTCATACCCATTAATACCTTCCGATATAAATACTTTAAAGTTAACAAAACTCGATATGCCAAATTTATTTAAAATTCGACTATGAACTTTGAAACATTGAAGCGTTGTAAATAAATAGAAAATAATTTCATGAAATGCGATGCCACTTAGACACGAAAAATGCGACGTTTAACAAATTTTTTTTTGACTTTTTCGCAAAAATATATATTTCTTAGAAACATATTTTTAAAAATTACATGATTATTTGTTTTCAAGGAGGTTTAATAAACAGGAGACGCCGTAGTATATAATTTATACAAAACGCGATTTGTAAAGCGTTTTGTTTTAATGTAATTTTTTAGATTAAGACTTTTTAACTCAATTTTACGAGTTCTTATATAAGATTTGACTCTCTAGACAGAAATAGAATAGCCTGAGACTTATTTACATTAACGGTTGTTTTTACCAGAGTTGTTAACAAGGCCAAAAGTAGCAAAACCAAGGGCAAGGCCACATGTTACAAGCCCAATGTCATGACCAAGACCAAAAGTTACAAGGCCAGGATAAGGATTAGGCCAAGCAGTGGCGTAGAAACAGGGGAGCGGAGGGGGTAATCTCCCTCCCCCCCAACTAAAACACTAGGAAGGGACACTTCCTTTAGCCCCCCCCCTCCCATTTTCTAAATAGTTTTAAAAAAACTTTTATGATAGCAACAGCGGGATTATCTTTTTCCAGTCTGCAATGACTCAATCACAATTAAACATCACCATGGAAAAGTATATCCATAAAACTGTAACTGGTAAAAAGATACTATCGCATATTTTTTAAATGAATGTGTGCTGGCAAAGAATGACTAATGACGTTTAAAAAATGATTAATAACGTTGCGTGAAATAAATAATTGAATATATAGATCATTTTTATTTATTTTGCTGTATCATACGAAATTGAGGAACTTTTTCTTTTTTAGCACATGTTTTCAGACCCCCCTCCCCAACTTTCGCGACTTTCCTACGCCACTGAGGCCAAGGACTAACAACTCTGGTTTTTACTAGATATATTTTCACAATTTCTTCGTTGTTGCTTATCGCTAGTCGTAGGTAGTCTGACTTATGGTCCCTAAATGTAAATAAACGACAATAAACAACTTGACGGAGATCAAAGACAAAAGTAGAAGTAACTTGAGTATAACCGGAATATAAGAACTTATTTATAAAAGTTGCTTGCGAAAAAAAAAGTTCACGACTTGAAGAAAACAATTATCGTTGCTAAATTTTAAGGACATAAAGAACATCGTTATATTAAAATTTTCACGGTTACCATGGACCTTGATAATGCCAATCTAACTGACCAAAGAACGCCACCTATATGGAAAAATGATGTTCGCATAAAGGTACATTATGATGCAAATTTTGAAATTAGTTTTTTTTTTTTTAATTTTTACTATAAATCTATAAATTTTGCTATTTATACCTTAAAACGTTATTACTGTGATATTAGGTTACTATATTCAAAATAATGGTTACATGACAGCTTACTTCTTTCCAAGCAGATTGAATATGCTAACTGTAAAAGACCAAGATCAATATCAGTGATTCTCGGATTCCACAAGGACTCTGCAAATTGTGCAGAACTACTTTTCACAGGAAACAAACAGGAGAAAAAGTTGCTCCTGAAACAAGAGGCATGGTGTGTTGTTGTATAATCTGTCAAACTGATCTTTCATCGGTGGAAAAGGTTTGCTCCATCAATGCTCTCAAATAAAGTTTAGTGTAAACCTTCAATCTTAAACAGCAAAAGGTGCCAGAGTAGCCAAACAAATCGCATCTTGAGTTACTTCAAATGAAAAATTATCTTTGGAGGATATTTTACTTGCAGCTTTGAACAATCAATTTTGGCATATTATACAGAAGAAGAGAATACATATCAGATCCCTTGATGTTAATACCCAGATCCCTTGACATTAAAAGAGTCACAAAAGCACTTGAATCAATTGAGACGGTTACGTTGGGACAGGAAAACTTTATATTCCAAAAATAAAATTCAAAGTAAACGATTGTATCAACCTGTTTGACTGCTTGTCCAGCAAACTAACTCCATCACCAATACTAAATGATGTGACTGTAAAAGATTTCGAAAGTATGCAGGAAGAAAATATGCCAATTGACTGGACTTTTACAAAGTTCCAATTAAAAACACAAGCTGCAAAAAAAACAGTAAAATTGATTAATGAAAACCTCGAAGAATTTAAATTCTTCGAGGCTATCCTTAATCAATTTTACTGTTCTTTTTTAATAAATCCATTTGTTATGATCAGACAATTGTCTGGCCATAACAAACGGGATGAATTTACTAGCTCTACTCTGATATCGAGAAAGACCATGACTAAAATTACATACAAATTACATTACAAAACTTAAAGATTTAACAAAACACAAATTCGTGCTCTTAATTTTGAATACTTATTTCTTAGTTCTCATGATAGAATGCAGGTGTATTCAGGTCTAAGTTAAATAAATATTAGTTAAATAATGAATAGACGGTGTATTTGTCCATTTTGAGGTAACTTCAGATTCTTTGCTAGAACAGAACACATTGATCTTGGGGCGTCAAATTTTGCCAGTTTTAACACTTTGCATATTACTATAAGAAGGATAAAAAATTTTCATGTTTGAATTTTAATGTAACCATGAAAGTTTTTAATTAAAATAAAAAAATTTCTATATGATTTTTTTTACCAGTTTACCAGCGCTCAATAAAAATTTCATAGAGGGTAAAAATAGAAAGTCTGGTTTACTAGTTTATGTAGGGGAATGTTTGCAGTATACTGTCAGGTCTGATATAAGCATTTCTGATAACAATTAAGGGTTTAAATTAAAAAATGTCATGAAAGTCAACAGTAACGTAAAGTTTGCGTTCTATAAATAGATTTTTTTCAGTGACGTAAGACATCATGGGATTGATATTTGGACAACTTTAAATAACTTGACGTCACCAAAACGTACGCTTTTGAAATCCTAACCAAAAAAACACAAATTTATTTATAAGTTGCGAATATATTCTGGTCAAATTGAAAGTTTTAAGGCCAGTTTCCACTCATCTTTTTGTCTAGAGAAACGGGAAAGGGAAGGAAAAATAATCACGTGAACATGCGTGGCAAAAATTTTAGTTTGTCAAAAGCAAAAATAGGCAGTATTATTATGCAAGTATTGTAGTATTATTATGCAAGTATTGCAGTATTATTATGCAAGTATTGTATAATTTATTAGCAATTATTTAGTAGTTTAATATAAAAAATTTATTATTGTTTTACTTTTTAATTTCATTTTCACTCTTTTTATGTTTACATAAGGTTAACATTTTCTTCACCCCAGGTTTTATGAAGTAAAAAAATAAATTTTATTTAGGTCAATTAACTGTATTACCAAAAATATATATACTTTTTTAAAATTATTGTTTGATAAACAAAGTGGATAAGACAGTTTCTTCCACAAATGAAGATTCTAAGTCTTCTGAGCTGGAACTGCTTTAAAACTCACTAGTATCTTTATTTAACCATACAAGCATTATTTTAGTTTATTTGCACTGTTCACTTTTTGATTACTTTTTGACGACTTCATATTGATAGCAGTTTAAAATTAGATTTAAATTAAATTTAAAGTTAAAAATAAATAAGTCATAAATACTAATTTATGTACAAAATTATGATAAATAGTTGAGCATATTAGAAAGCCGCTACCAACAGCTTGCAGACAACAACCCAATAAAATCCGATCAGCGGCTTGCGCACACATGATGTATTTCCTATAATAAAATCAACTCATTTCCTACTGTAATTGTGGAAAGGAAAGAGTCAATCATTGGAAAAACATCATGTTCAAATAATTCGTTATATAAAATTTCAACGCCAAAATTAGTGTGGGATTAAAAATAAACTAAGTTAATGTCACCTATTAAGTAGTTCATTATCTTTTTGTAAATGCTATTTAAAAATACGCCTTTCTACAACTTATTATCTATAATTCTAACTCTGAGCTTCTATTTATCGAATATTTTTCTCTTTTCTGTTGCGTTTATTAAACTAATTTTAATATCTTTTATTAAATTTATTATTTTAATCTTTCTAGAAAGTATAAACTATACTATAGTTTATACTTTCTAGAAAGATTAAATTACGTCACTTTTTCTTTTCCAAATACGCAAAATTTTGACTTTTTCTTTTGGGATCGTCCATAAATTACGTCACGCATTTTTTGACAGATATTGACCCTCCCCCTCCCCCTCGTCACAAAATCGTAACACTTAAGAAGCAAGTTTTGTATGAGTCGTCACAAAACTACCAACCCCTCCCTCCCCCTTATAGCGTGACGTAATTTATGGACGAACTCTTTCCAAATACGCACTTTACAAAATCTAGAGTTTCTGTTTAAATCTTTCTAATACTTTCTGTAATATTAGATCATGCTGTTTTGTATATGGAGCGAATATTGGAACCTATATATCAAGGGATAAATTTTCACTAACTTTCAACCTAATTTGATAGTTAGAAAGGTTTTCTTTTCCGCTAAAAACAGAATTTTTGTAAGAGTTTATAAGTGAGGAGCCTATTTACAAAACGCACTAGTTCAGAGCATGAAAGTATAAAACAGATAGAAGTTTATCGAGCCGCAAACATCAAAGCAATTTCAAGTCGTCTCGGGAGTATGCTTGTAACCAACAATAAAAAAATACAAGTTTCACTGGACAAAAAAAAAATTCACTGAAATGATTTTTATTATAACATCAAAAAATGAATTATTCTAGGGATATGCGGCAAAGTTTTAACCATTAGTAATTGCAATTCGCCAATAATATTCAAGAAAAACATTAAAAATAGCGCAACGTAACGGCAAACAACAACTTTTTTATGAACTTCATATTAAATGAATGGATTACCACAAAAACGAATGGAATTATGATATACCGCAAATGAAGATTTAAACTTTAGTTATTTAGAAAACAATTTTTTTGATTTTTTAAAAATTGTTTTAGTTGTCTTTTTAATCAAATGTCG